AGTAACATAAAGCCAATTCCAACTCAACTAAGGAAAACGGGGATTTAATGGAAGAACACTGGAGTTGCTTATTAACCTACAAGAACCAGGCAGCCCTGGGGGCCTAAATGCAGGGGACAGGGGCTTGATGTCACCAGAGTTCTTCACTGCTCATTCTTCCTACAGACATCTCTACATTAATGTAGCAGGCATTTAGCCATGTTAGGTCATTTTCATTAGCCACATTTTCCAAATAGGGGAGGAGGGGCTAAGGGAGTTAGATGACTCACTGCAGGTGATTCAGCTGCTAAATGGCATTGACTTGAAAACCAGCATCTTGATTCAGATTGGTGGATCCACACAAATTGCAAGGGAAAAAACTTTTTAAAAGTATGTAAGAATAGTCACATAGGATAAGAATATATTTGATTTTTGTGAGGACTACAGCTGAAGGAGAAGAGAAACATGCAAATGGGGTTCCATTCCCCACACCAGGGTAGTTTCTCTCATCTCAGAATGCCCATCTGGCATCTTCCTGACCCTTAAGGAAGTTCATAGCAATATTGTTTTCAGAAGTCAATATTCTCCTGTCTCTACTTGCAAGAAAATAACTGGGCTCCCCGGTAAGTATAATTGGTGTGAACAGTGATTTATTATACGCCCAGTTCTCCAGATGGCCTTTCATATGGAAATGATTTTTCCTGAAAACAGAAAAATATGGGATTTTCCCCCCTCAGCAGGTTATAACAGGTTTACAATCCACTCCATCAAAACTAGAATCAAAAACTTTATCGGAGTTCCCTTAAAACAGAAACACAAAAAACACGTTCCATCTGGTAAATAATTGCTGGAGTTGCATTCCTGTGCATTCGGGCACAAGCTAACTGCTGTACAGGATAAAGCTGTGAAAATGTCTAGGCTTAATGGGCCAACATGAGATAAGATCTACTTAGGTCTATCATATACTCAAATTGCAACCTTCTGGAATGCTGGTTCATGCCAGACTCTCAAATCACCCATAATCTGATGAGCTAGACAGATGTGTAAGATTATTCCAGGATATCTGAAAATCTCACATGTGAGTACAAAAGGCTAGGTGGACATGTGCAGCCCTTATTCTATAGAATGACGCGGAATGTTTACCAAGAAGGTCATTTTCAGATGACCATAGTTGAAGAACAAAGTCAAATGCAGTTCTAAGTTACATGTCCTCTGTCTAAATAACAAATTAGAAAGTATATCTAAAAAGACTTATATCATCCTGTGGTGGAATACTTGAGAATGGGGAAAGCATTCAGCAGTAAAAGGTAGGTTAGCAAAAGGATTTAATGTAGTTAGTATGTAGCAGGTTAATTTCAGTAGATGACTCTAAGTTATGATTTTCATTCAGGAAGAATTATTTTAGTCAGCGTTCCACCAGCAGAACATACTTCCTCATAAGCTCCCTGCCTCTGAAAGTCCAGGCAGGGGAGTCATGTATTAGAGATGTTGTGGGGAAGATCTACAAATTAGGGATCACTCTCAAATTCCTTAAGGGGTTGGGCAGATAAATTGTGTAAAATGGTAAGGCTTTAGAAAGTGGACCGAACTGCAGAGGACTGGACAGGCACAGCCCACCTAAAGACATTCAGATTCGGTACAGATATTTCTTGGCTTACCATGAGGCTAAGAAACCCATCTAAGTAAAAAGTGCATTTAATACACCTAACCTACCAAACATCACAGCCTAGCCTAGCCTGCCTTACACATGCTCAGAACACTTACATTAGACTACAATTGGGCTACATCATCTAACATAATGCCTATTTTATAATAAAGTGTAGAATATCTCATGTAATTTATTGAATACTGAACTGAAAGTGGAAAACTGAATGATTATATGGTACTTGAAGTACAGTTTCTGCTGAATGTGTATGGCTTTCACGCTATCGTGAAGTTGAGTAATTGTAAATCAAACCATTGTAAGTTGGAGACCATCTGTATTTAAAAACAAAGCAAAACAAAACAAAAATAGACTGTTCTGGCCAAATAGACCACTTTGGAAGGATTTGACCTGTGGATCAAGAGGACATTTGCCACTCTTGGACTAGCAGATCCTTAAGTCTTATTTGCCTGCAGAGTTCTGTGATGTGGTGTATAAAAATAATGTACTTTTATCTGATAAGAGCCAAACACATTAACCTCTGTGGTAGGAGAAAGTGGAGTTGAACAGAAGTGTAGAATGTGGTCTCCATCCTCAGAAAACTCAAAAATACTTTAAAATAAGACATGTCCATATAAAGGCAGTCAACAATGGCAGGCAAAAAGCCTATGGCGGCTCAGAGGAAGCATTTCTAACTTTGATCTAGATAGGTTCAGAAAGAGCAGCAGAATAGGCAAAGCTTGAGTGAGTCTTAAAAGAACAAATAAGTCTGACATAGTGGCTCACACCTGGATCCCTACTCAGGAGCATTGTTTGAGCCCAGAAGTTTGAGGCTGCAGTGAGCTATGATCACACCACTGCACTCCAGCCTGGGTGACAAAGCAAGACCCTGTCTCTGAAAAAAAAAAAAAAAAAAAAAAAAAAAAAAAGGGATGAACGATGAACATTCAGCTAAATGGAGAGTGTAGAGGAGAATAGAGTTCTTAGGTAGTAACAAGGTAATAACAGGACAAACAAGAAGCCCAGGGGCAAGGAGGAGGGTCGTGCTTGGATCTGACGAAACCTCTCAACTTCTTCCTCAGATCCTAAAAGTGGCTTCCCATTACCTATTCTGTTCTGAGCCTTCTCCTCAGCCTCTGGACCTCTCCCTTCTCATGAAGTAAAAGCTTTCTTAGGGTCACAGTTCCCATAGCTGGGCAGTACCACCTGCAGTCAGAGCCCTTAGCACTCCCCTTGTTTTCACCTGGTCCATATCCCAGCCCTACTGCCTGTTTGCAGACCTGTTAACAGAGTCATTGGGCTACCTCTCAGACAATCACCCTTGATGCTAAATCACCCAAGCAAATGAATTGAATTTTCAAGTGAAGAGGGTAATCCTAAACACTTAGTGATCAGAAGTGAGGAGGCACAAACTATTTTCAGAATTCGAATTTGTCTTTATTATGTGGTATACACCTTTGCTGGGGTACTAAGTGCCATCAATAAATAGCTAGCAGCAATTGATGGCTTACAACGTGCCAGAATCTGTGCTGAGCCCAGTACATGCATGCCCTTCCTCGCCAACTCAACCTCCAAAATGGGGCACATTGTTTTCCCCTCTCTCGAGATAGGCAAACTGAGGCTCAGAGGGGTTAAATAACACACGCAAAGTCATATGACTAACAGGGGCATGGATTCAAACCCAAGTCTTCTGTCTCTAAAAACTGACTACAGTCACATGTGGTTGACCGTTCCCACTTCGTGTGATTGTACCATTCATATGGATGTGTAAATGCACACTCAACAGCCCAGAGTCACCTGCTGGCCTATCATCAGATGTAAGCAGCTGCCATCTCCCAAACAACACACTCCTTTGACGTGTGAATTTGTATCGCTGACTCTTCAGATACGGTAGTCCCCCCTTATCCAAGGTCCACATAAATTAAATAGAAAATTCCAGAAATAAACAATTCATATATTTCAAGTTGTCCATGTTCTGAGTAGCATGATGAAATCTTAGCCATCCTGCTCTGCCTGCCCAGGGTGTGAATCATCTTTTTGTCCAGAGTGTTCACACTATAGAAGCTCCCCACCTGTATGTCACTTAGTTGATCTGTTGGTTGTCAGGTCAGCTGTTGCAGCATCGCTGTGCATGCGTCCAAGTAACCCTTATTTTACTTAATAATGGCCCAAAAGAGTAATGAGGTCAGCATATTGTTTTATGATATTATTAGTTGTTATCCTTTATTGTACCAAATTTGTAAGTGAAACTTTATCATAAGTATGTATGTATAGGAAAAAAAATCATAGTACATAGAGGGCTCAGGACAATCCATGGTTTTGGGCATCTACTGGGGTCTTGGAACATATCCCCTGTGGATTAGAAGGGAGTATGATAATGCAACGTTCTCATCACATTTGAATCATCTGGGGGCACTAATAAAAAAGCACTGATGTCTTAGCTTCAATCCCCACAGATTTAGATTTAATTGGTTTTGGTTTGAATCAAATATTGGAACTGTAGAGGACCTTCCCAGGTGATCCTAACGTGTAGAGAACATAGACTGTGAATAGTGGCTAAGAGTGAGGGCTTGGGGTCTGATTTCTGTTACGATAGGCCAGCTATGACACACCTGTAAGTCTTAGTTTTCTCATCTATAAAATGGGAACTACAGAACTGTGTACTTTATAGCACTGATGCAAGGGTTAAGTTAGATGGAAACAATGGAATGCAAAAATGGTAAGGTTCCTGGTGCCACCTTAAAAGCCTCATTGATCCATAATGAAATGGAAGTTTATAGTCTATTAGGCAAACACCCATTGGTTACATGAGAAAATGTATTCTCCTGGCTTTCTACTCAGACTTCCTGACACCTCAGGGTAGAGGAGAGGGCTGAACAGGCACTCTTGGCAAACTACTAGCTCTTTCAGAGATGTAAAGGCAAAGGCCTTTCAGAGCCAGACAGCTGACATACAGATGTGAGGTAATGGGATAAGCTATCAGGGCTATTTAAAAAAAAAAAAGGAGAGAGAGCAGGTGTGATTTGAAGAGAAGATACCCCATAAAAGGCATTAAAATTCATTAAAAATAATAATAATTACTACCAACAGGTGCTGGCCAAACAGATCCATCTGTGCCCACATGCAGCAGGTAGGGTGTCAGTTTGCACCACCAGTAGTCACACCTTCAACTTTACAGATTCATTTCAGTGGCTCCTCCCTGCTTCTGTGCTTGTGAGCTGAGGGCAGCTACTTCTCCTTCCATTGGAAGCCAAGGGGTTTCAAGGACGTGTCTGTGACTATGAAGAGGCTTTTAGATGACAGCCAGATTTGTTACAGGCAGACAAGCAGTTATTTGTTTAAAAGTTACCACCCTACAGAGGGCCCATCTCTGTTTCAGACTAGCTGTGTGACCTTACGTAACTTCTCTGAACCATTGCTCACATGTAAAATGTGGAAAAAAGTATCCACTCCTCAGTGATGTTGTGACGATTAAAAGAACAAGAGATGTAGAGTGCTCAGCACAATGCCTGTGCTCTGGGAAGCACTCCAGATGTGTCTGCTTTTGTTGTGATTTTGCCATTCTTCAACAAAGTAAAAAGAGCCTCAAGTACTGTAAGCACTGTTTCTCCCCTTGCCCTGGAAAATCATTTAAATGACATGGTTCATTTTAATATATTACCTCATCCCTCCTTTGAAGCCACAGTCAAAAACATTGACAAACAAGTTTGAGAGAGAGATAAGGAGAGGCAAGATAAAAGATATAAAGTGACCAAAAAAAAAAAAAAAAGTAGAGAATTTGTTCCTTATCTGTTCTCAAGGAGCACAGGTCTAGTGGTTTGCTGAATGGGGTATGAAGAGGTAACACAGTATACCTCCCTCGTCTATGGCCTGCGACAGCCCTAGTGAGCACTGGGCAGCACCCAGACAGAGAGAAGGACTTTCTGGATTTATCTGGGGATAGTTACTCTCAATGTTTCTAAGAATAAGAATCCAGCATGGGAATCATCCCACCTTCATTGCATTTTGCTTTGTTTTGACATCCTCCATGGAGAATGCAAAAACAACAACAACAAAAAAAAAAACTAGGTTTCATAAGACATAAATGTATCAATGGTTTGGCCTATCCAGGCCCAGATTTGAGTTCAGAGAGGCCCTGGAAGGTTTGACTAGTCCTAGATCAACTTTGGTTCTTGGGCTTTAAGAAACAGCATTCATTCACTTGATTTTCGACTGGGGAACCACCCTCCACCCTCACTCTCAGTCACTGTGCTTTGGGTGAAACTGACTTTATCCTCGTCTTCAGGGAGTGGGTGTGATATTCAGGCCTGGCCAATCAGAGCGTCACATTCCTCTGACCCAGTGATAGATAGTGACTCTTTGAGAAATGGTCATGTGACCCCCTCAGAACCAGAGTGATACAAGGAAACTGTTTTTACGGACTTTGTTGAGGTATAATTCGCATAGCATAAAATTCACCCATTTAAAGTATACAATTCAATCATTTTTAGTAAATTTTCAAAGTAACCACAAAAATCTGGTTTTTTAATATTTCTGTAATCTCAAAAAGATCTCTTGTGCCATTTGTAGGTACAAGGAAACTTTGGCAGAGTTATTGAGGGAAATTCACATGTTCCTTTTGTCTGGGTCTGTTTGCAATAATGATTACAAGAGTCTGGAGCTACATAGAACCTGAGAATAAAGCAAAAACTGCTGAGTAAAGAGATAGGCTGGGCACAGTGGCTCACGCCTGTAATCCCAGCACTTTGAGAGGCTGAGGTGGGCAGATCATTTGAGGTCAGGAGTTGGAGACCAGCCCAGCCAACATGGTGAAACCTCATCTCTACTAAAAATACAAGTTAGCTGGATGTGGTGGCGCATGCCTGTAATCCCAGCTATTCGGGAGGCTGAGGCAGGAGAACTTGAACCCTGGAGGTGGAGGTTGCAGTGAGCCAAGATCGTGCCACTACACTCCAACCTGGGTGACGGAGCGAGACTTGTCTCAAAAAAAAAGAGAGAGAGAGAGATGGAGAGAAGCTGAAGAGAAGCTGAGTCTGGAGATCCCTGGTTGAGGCTCTGATCAAGCTGAACCTGAAGTCAGAGCTTCCCCTAGACTTGTTCGGTTACATGAACTGAGAAGTTTCCCATTGTCTTCAGCCAGTTTGACTCATGTTTTCCATCTCTTGTAATGAGATGAATCTCACCTCACTCCAAAAATTATTGACCAGACCCTAAGGATTAGAATTAGAACCTTTATTAATTGAATATCAGACAGGAAGGCAAATCTCCAGATCTGTTGTAATCAAAGGATTATTTTACATATGATCATAGATGCCATTTTACAAAGGAGGATTCAGCCCTGCAAAAGTAAATTGCTTAACCAGGATACATAGGAGAACCTGGATAAGTCCTTGTAACTCTGAATTTGATTTTGTAACCTGAATTTGAGTTTGTAACCCTGAATTTGATCCTGTCTTTCCTCTTCAAGTAATCATCATCATCATCATCATTGCCATTACCTCTTACAAAATGTTCACTATGTGTCAGACCTATGCTGAGTATGTATCGTGCAAATATTAACTCATTTAATCTTCACAACTGCCTTATGGTGTAGATATTATTATTATTCTCATTTCACAGATGACGAAACTGAAGTCTACAGAGGTCACATAAGTTCTCCAAGGTCATATAGCCTGTGAGTAGCAGAGGCAGGATTTGGATGCAGGCACGCTGGCTGCAGAGGCCACACTCTTAATCCATGCACTGTACTGCCTTCTACAAATCAAAATTAATCTAACATAAGCTTTTAATCAGTGTTCCAGTTGTCTTCCAACTAGAGATAATACCTTTTTCTGAACTTATATTTCTGTCATTATAAAAAGACAAAAAACTAGCAAAAACCTCAAATATTTTCCATATTTTAAGATTCTTCAATTATATAAACAATTTTTGTCTGATTTGAAGTAGTTATAAACTTCTGTGCTTCTTACAACTTCGTTCTGCTCTTCTAAACATAGTAGAAATACAGTTTAATCATGGCAAAAGTCTAATTTTTATGTCTTCTTGCAGTAAAAAACTAGATGACTGATCTGCTTTATTGATATTTAATATGATACAGTAATGATATTTAATGTAATTTAATATGAAATTTTACATTTTATATCAGCCAACCCACAAAAAAGTAAGACCTGGAAGTTAACAGCCCACTTTATTGAGACAAAATGTACATATACAAAAAGTAACATAAACGTGTCTTCTCCGATTTCTTGAAATCAAGTAAGACATACAAAATGCTTTGATATGGTTTAGCTCTGTGTCCCCACCCGAATCTCACCTTGAATTGTAAGAATCCCCATGTGTCAAGGGTGGGACCAGGTGGAGATAATTGAATCATGGGGGCGGTTTCCCTCATGCTGTTCTCATGATATCTGATGATTCTTTAAGATATCATGACTCATGATATCTGATGATTCTCATGATATCTGATGATTCGTTCTCAGGAGATCTGATGATTCTTTAAGGGGCTTCCCCCTTCGCATGGTGTTTATTCTCCTTCCTGCTGTCATGTGAAAAAGGATGTGTATGCTTTCCCTTCCACCATGGTTGTAAGTTTCCTGAGGCCTCCCCAGCCCTGTGGAATGGTGAGTCAATTAAAACTCTTTCCTTTATAAATTACCTAGTCTCAGGTATTTCTTCATAGCAGCGTGAGAACAGATTAATATAGCACTTCAAAAGCTCTGAAATGCTATATAAATGCAACATACTATACTCTCCAAGTTATTTTCACACACATTTTTCTTTCTTTTTTTTTTTTTTTTGAGACACAGTTTCTCATCACCCAGGCTAGAGTGCAATGGTATGATCTCAGCTCACTGCAACCTCTGCCTCCTGGGTTCAAGCGATTCTCCTGTCTTTGCCTCCTAAGTAGCTGAGATTACAGGAGCCCGCCACCATGCCTGGCTAATTTTCATATTTTTAGTAGAGATGGGGTTTCACCATGTTGGCCAAGCTGGTCTCGAACTCCTGGCCTCAGGCAGTCCACCCATTTCAGCCTACCAAAGTGCTGGGATTACAGGCGTGAGCCACCACGCCTGGCCTCACACACATTTTTCTCACTTGATCCTTACCTAAGAGATGTATTTGAATGGGGATGATCAGGTGAATAAACACTGTTTTTTTTTTTAAGGCAGTGCCATGGATGGATTTTATTTTTATGTGAAAGAAAGATATGGTGAAAGTGGTCTTTTAGGAAATTCAGCCAGTGGGTATATACAAGATGATTGAGGAGGAGAGCTGTAGGCACAGAGAACAGCTTAGAAGACTGCTCCTGCAAATACAGACAGTTCCCAACTTACGACGGTTTGGCTTATGGTTTTTCAAATTTATGATGGTGTGAAAGTCATACGTGTTCAGTAGAAACCATACTGCAAGTACCCCTATAACCATTCTGTTTTTTTGCTTTCAGTACAGCATTCAATAAATTACATTAGAAATTCAACACTTGATTATAAAATAGGTTTGTGTTGATGATTCTTCCCAACTGTAGGCTGATGTAAATGTAAATGTTCTGAGCAGGTAGGCTAGGCTAAGCTATGATGTTTGATAGGTTAGATGTAAGTGCATTTTCAACTCACAATGTTTTCCATTTACAGTGGGTTCATTGGGATGTCATAACCTCATCGTAAGTTGGGTATCGGTACCTAAAATATATTTGTTTAGTATAGGGAGTTTGTACAAGTTACTTGGGATTGACTTGGCTCCTTGGGCAACAGAACTTTGTTCTAAGTTCTAATGCCATTGTTAAAATCAATGGGTCATCAATAGGTCACTAGAGATCATTGAGCAGCTGCCCTATTGGGAGTGGTAGATAACTAGAAAACAGCAGCTGAAGTGTGGATTGTAGTATCTAATGGTGGCACCTGGGCAAATTATTCTAGGCATGTCTGCTCAGACCTCAAATGATGGAGGTGGGTTATAGTTGGGCTTCCCAAATCCTCTGTCAGTGATCTCTTACTGCAGAAGGCAGCCTGGTACCCACAAGAGTCTAAGACACAGCATCTGCAGCTCTTTCCAGTTTTCTCTTTAAAATTCTTGTGGAATTTGTGTTTCACTCCCTAAGAAAGTGGATGTCTGCCTTGGGGTTATGTGAAAATTTGACAAGAAGTAAACATCTTCCCTGTTCAACATAGGCCCCACCTTCCCCAGCTCTCATTTCTAGGTTTCTTGTTCTTTGGTCCATATTCATTCTATGAGGAGAGGGTCAGCACTGCTACTAACTGCACACAAACTCAGTATTAACTGGTTTATCTACTCCATGAATCCCTACAAATATGGGAGCATATTGGGGTGTGGTTCTTGGGTAATGTGTATGCATTTGACTGAGGCTGAGGTTTTTGCTGCAATCAGTGGTCTAGCCTCACAAAATACCCAGTGTGGTGGGAATGTGTGGCTCAAGAGGAGAGGAGGATGGAGCTTCTGGAGAAGGAAAGGCTTTGGAGTCAGCAGGGATATTAGAGTCTAACAAGTAACAGCAAGTTTCTTCCACCTTTGTGTTCAACACTTTGCTGCTCATTCATGCTGGAAAAAAAGACAAAAAAACAAGCCAAAATT